TGTAGCCTACCTTCTTCAGCTTCTGAACTTTTATTGTTATTGGGTTGGTCAGGAATCTTGCAGTCGATCAAAGATTTTGCTGCATTGGTTAAGAAAACTGACTGATGTTCAGTCAGTGATAGGAAACATCGATCAGGACTAGGTAGTTCTACTACTGTGTAGGCAAACACATCCTGATGTTGGTGAAGGGTCTCAATTAACAGGTTTTTGTATTCTATGTCAAAACTTTCCAAATTAGAAAAATTTTACCAGGTTCACTTCATCAGTGATAGGCACTCAAATGATGGCTTTGCCGATCTTGAGACCTCCTTCACTCTATATTTGAATGTCTAGCAGTTCATGGTCGATGATAGTGATCGCTCGCATGTAAAAGCTCATGCATTGTTCCAAGTTTCCTTGGACTATGATTATCTCCATATTCTCAAAAAATTTCATGGCTACATGGTATGTCGAAGATACAGCCCGGTAACTGTTCAGCAACAGTCAGTCAAAGCTGAGGAGATTCCACCACAAAAAAAATTCTCCATATTTGTGAACTATTTTTCTCACTCCCCCATGAGACAGCTAGGGCGATCACCTCCAAAGCCTCCTTTTGCTCACTTAAGAAGCTGAATAGTGGGTCGGCTGGTGTCACCAATCACTCAGCCTTGATTCCTAGTTTGTTAATCACCATTTTGAACAAAATGTTGACTAAACTGCTAATGTTGACAAGGATGCTCGCCACCTGGTAGTTTCTTATGAGCATCATAATGATGATCACCTCATTGCACCGGTTTCCCTTTAGGGGGAATCTATGTTTTGAAAATAATTTGGGGTGAATACGAGTGTAAGAGGTGACGAAACATACCTCCACCGACGATAACCAGGATGCTTCCATCCATGTGGATTTCATTCATCTACACTGGTCCATCCATGAGTACCTGTACTGGGGCCTTCCCCTGTTAATGTGTGTGTGATCCAACGACCACAAACTCCTTCAACTATTTGACCTTGATGAGCTCTTCCACCATATTTCTCAGATGATGAAACTCCTCTGTGTTGTGCCCATTGTCTCGATGGTAGGCACAATATTAATTCAGGTTACGTAGTTGCGGTGCTGTCTTCAGTGAGGAGTGGTGGGGGCCTTCTTGAAGTAGTCCTTATTTTGAATGGCTTAGACTAGACGAACTCCTTCACTTATTTGACCTTGATGAGCTCTTCCACCATTTTTCTCAGATGATGAAACTCCTCTGTGTTATGTCCATGGTCTCGATGGTAGGCACAATATTAATTCAGGTTACGTAGTTGCGGTGTTGTCTTCAGCGAGGAGGGGTGGGGGCCTTCTTGAAGTAGTCCTTATTTTGAATGGCTTAGACTAGCTCGATCATTGACACATTCAGGGGTGTCGACCCTTGCATCTCTCAATATACAAGTGGTTGCTCATAGTACTAAGCTGGTTGTTGATCATGATGGTATAAGTGACCATTGCTGCTTCAATCAACCCCTTGCACATCCCGAGATTGAGGATGATTGGTATGTTAGTCGTAAGGGGCTTGATCACCCTTTGGCCTTATGTCGTCCTACCAACCCTTCCGCTTCTATGACTGGTGATTGAATACTCTTAGTTTAGTTTCTAAGGACTCAATAAGGTCTTCTTCAGTGGCAAAGTGGTAATTTGCTAATTCTAAGTCCTCCATGAAGATCCTTAGCTTGTGTAGATTCAGGTCAAACCTGAATCGCTTGTTGTAAATCATGTGCTTTAAGGCTGTTCGGGCGATGAGAAGCTCCATGTTCTTCACTTCCAACATTTTCTTCTAGAAATGGGTGATATAAGCCTGTAGGCTTTCATTTACCCAATGTCTGATCCTAAGCAAGGTCTTTGTATCCTTCCTCGATTTTTGCTAATTAGCACGGTGTGTCAAAAAGAGCTTCCGGAATTTTAAGAAGGACGGGATGATCCAATCTGGTAGGCTATTAAACAATTAAAGCGCGGCTCCTATCAGCATGGTCAGAAATATATGGCACTTCTTGCCGCCATCGATCTGTAGAACTCCAATTGTTGACTCAAAAGAAGCTAGGTGATCAGTCGAGTCACTCTTCCCTTTATAAGGATTAAAGTGAGGAATCCTAAGCTTCACTGAGGGTATGGTTTCCAAAATTATTCAGTAGAAAGTGCAACCCCTAGCTGATTGAGCAAGCAATCCCACTCAATGCACTCGATGTTGGACTGTCGATGTAGACAGTGCACTGTCTGTCTATTAGGAATCTTTAGATTAACCTTGAGGCACTGACAGATTATTGAGGTGAGTTTTTTTAGGACGAATTCCTCTAGAGTTTCCCTCTATGGGTAGCGATCGGGTATTTTGCCAAGTCATGACTGTCAAAAGAGCCTCGAACTAGTCCATTATTTGTTCTCACAATGCTTGGAAATCTTCCCATATTTCTCAACGAACGGTCTCTCTATTGAATTTCTTGGGAGTTATTTCTCACTGCAAGAATTCTCCTTTGTAGTTGGCTTCGCTTCTCATATAAGGCATGTCCATGCCCACTGCACCATCTTTCAGGATGTTCAATCCTAAATTATAATTCAGAATTACACGCATAGAGAGTTAGACCTGAGAGTGAGAGGAGGACGGAGAGAATAAAAGTGTTAGGAAATTTTCAGTGGAGAGGCCAGAAAAAAATCCTCAGACCAGGGGCCCCTTTATTCGTCTTTTGCTCTCTAATTATGGAAGTGTAATCATACAATTATAGAAAGGAAGGACAATTATGGAAACCACACTTAATGCAATCAATGTGTTGATATAATACTAAATTTGTATTACAATTTGAATTCAAATATGGAGGTAATCAGCCGATCGATGTGTTTGAGTTCAATCGACTGTGGTGACCGGTCGAGTGGTGTTCACGGCTGGCGAAGTATAAATTGGTTGGCCGACTACTTGCAATCGGGTGCCCATGTAAGGAGTTTAGGCGGTCGAGACTATGGGCGTGGTCCACCGCTTGAATCCATTGTCCAATATGTCGGCTGACTTCGACCAAGAACAGTTGGCTCGGATCATGCTCCTCTAACTTGATGCCTTGATTATCCAGCCACCATCCTGGACCGTTTAATTGCTTTGAGATTCGTGTCGACAGTTCTAGTGCATGCAAAAATATATAATTTCATTTCAAAATATATTCAACTTTGGGCTTGGGCGCGGCAATAATTTCTCATCTATTTTAAAAGTTGTTCCAATAAATCATCTTCAAACTCACGTTTTAAAGTAAAAACCATATATATTATGTTCATTATTAATTATCTTATAGTGCGCTTTGGCTTGATCATTATGCAAATTCGATTTTTAATATTCATTTGCTTCATGATCATTTTGAAGACATTAAAATGCATTATTATAAAAAAAATTAGGAAGAGACGCAGCAGCAATGGTGTGTGTACTAGTTTGCATTATTATTAGTGTACGTATTTGCTCTTTCAATTGAAAGAACCCTTATTATTTATTCAAAATGTAACGCAAATTTAAAACATACCCAATTAGTAAAATATTACATAACTGCCCTTGCCCTTGTATCGGAATTTTACAGACCTTTAGCTAAAAACAGAGAGAAAAAGGAGGGGGCGAAAAACTAAGAAAAAAAAAAAAGCAATTCAATTAAAAAATATATTTTATATAAAGAAATATCTTTTAAATTTCAAATAGAAAAGATAATCTATATACCGGACTCTTAGTCATACTTAGAAAAAAAACAAGCTTCATCTTTGTATCATGTTATTATTCAATGAGCATACAATTGGACTCCTATAACATTTTTTTTAATTTAAATTTTATAATTATTTGTTTTTTTTGGTTTCCGGAAATTAAAGTTTTGGACATCCATGTAACGGTTCACACACAAATCAATAATCTAGAAGAGTAATCTTCTATCATTTTTTATTTTTATTTTTATTCTTGTTTTTGTTTTGAAAAGGTTTATATTTCGCCACCTCTCCCATGCAAAATTGCCTCGATTTGCGAAGTTAATGACCTCCGCAGCAACCTTCCTCTAAACACGCAGCTTAGGCTTATGAATATAACAAGCAAACATATTAACTAATGCAAGTTCATTATTTAAAATTCCTCCAATTAGATTTCAATCTTAATTATGAAAAGCATTTTAGTAATAATAACATTTGCTTACTTTACAATACATATTCACATGTGATTAAATACATTTTCTAAAAGAAAACAAAAAATGTTGTTTGCTAAAAATTAGATGAAATTGAATTCAATCTTGCCATTCACCTTGAAAGATAAGAAATGAGCTATAGTTTTGAGAGCTTTAAACTTAAACTTCTTTTTAATAATAAAATTTTAAATTAATAGAATGATAGATTATAATATTACATTAACTTATTGTTATAATAAAAAAATATTACTAAAACTCCTTAAACTAAATTAAGAAAAAAAAAACATATCAAACATTGTAAAGCAAACTCACAGACAGAAGACCTTTAATCATACCAACTACACCATCCTTTTTTTCTATTATCCCTTCCAAATTGAACTCAATCTCATTTGGACAAATCGCAACATAAATATTATTTGTATGAAAATCTGAAGCAGCCGTTCAGGCTATACCTCCATTAAAAGTCAATTAAAAGTTATAATATGAATTATAAATATATCTTTGAATTATTTTTTTGAAGTTCAATTTTTAGGAGTGTATAATGAATTATTGTTCTTATTTATTCAAAAAAATCAACACTAAATTTGGACGTATTCAATGCATTATAGAACCTTTTTTTTTTTTTTTTTTTTTTTTTTTTTTACTTATATAATTGACTTGCACCCAATTTTGGGAGAATAAAAACATTAAATATAGCACAACTGAATTTTGGGTGGGAAAAACATTATAAAGATATTTTGTTCAAGCATTATTAATTACACTTCATGATCTATGGCAATGCCTTCTACAATGCCATTAAATCAGTGTAAACATACAGGTTCATAATAATAGCAAATAAAAAAACGTGCAAGAAATGTAGAATTGCAAAATTGAAGTCACAAATACTTCATAAAATAATTTGTTAATACATAATGGAGACGGAAAAAAAAAACGAGATATCCCAAATCATTATCAGAAAGCTAAATAGGAAAAGATATTCTCAAATTGGAGCAGATCAAATCTTATTCAGTCTATTAAAAAAGCATGGTTACAATCAACATTCCCTGAAGAGAAAAAAAAAGGAGAGAGCAGCAGTCTTGATACAAGTGCAGAACCCTCAAATTATAGCCATCATAACACTATTTCCTGGAAAATTATAAAAAAAAAAAAAAAGGAGTCGGGTGAGTTTAGAGATTAAAGTAAAAAACAAAAGCAATCGACCTGAAATGAGTATCTAATAATCACAATAAAATGATTTATATGAATTTATAGAAACTGAAAAGGAATATTGCAATACCATCACCTTCATCCACACACGCCATCAAGGTTGCCTGATAAAGAAGCATACCAATATAAATAGTCTTATCCAGCATACGAATCCTCATTTACAATGTCCTTAGAAATCTCAAACTGATTTTATGGAAGTATTTTTTTAATAGTTTTCATGAAAGTTGTATCCAATGTATATCCTTGTCCTCCATAACTATAAATTTATTTGTATTCTCTAATTCCTTCTGTGTTAAAAATATAAAGATATAAGAGAATATGTAAACACATGGGGGCATACGAATCCTCATTTACAATGTCCTTAGAAATGTCAAACTGATTTTATGGAAGTATTTTTTGAATAGTTTTCATCAAAGTTGTATCCAATGTATAACCTTGTATTCCATAACCATAAATTTATTTGTATTCTCTAATTCTTTTTGTGTTAAGAATATAAAGATATAAGAGAATATGTAAACACATGGGCCCGCAATATGAATCTGACTTGATGAATGGACCAACACAAACCAATAAGAAAGCACAGGTTAGACCCGATTATGCAAACAGTTCGATAAAACTTAGCATAGCTTGCCCCTACCACAACACCTTCTCACCCAAGTCGAGGGCCAAAGTTATTCACACACTAGTCGACTTGAATTGGGCAAACTGCCGTCCTGGCCACAATCAACTTGCAGCTCAACCCTAGCATTCTGCCCTTCGTACAAAGCTCAAAGATACCAAATGGTTCAACCACTCAAGTTTTGAATATGTTATGCAAAACAATGTGAAAAATAAATCACACAAACAAATAATCAGACGTTGCAATTATGTTGTTCGGCACAAATTCACCTACATCCACAGGGAAGGTGTAATGAAAAAACGACAGCAATAAAGTGAAAAACCGGGTCGAAAAGATTGCAAACCAGAAAATAACACATTTACGTGATTCGGCTAATTTGTCTACGTCAACAAAGCCACAGAATATTTTATTACTTCGAGAAATTACACTGTCGAGTGTCTCGGCGTTTACAAGAAAACTTTCTTTATCTTTCTCTCTTCCTTTCTCTCTCTTAGCTCTCAAGTAGGCTTGGCTTAGCACTTATGACAGACCAAAAGATGCTATTTAAAGAAAACGAAGAGAGAAAGGTGGAGAGAGGTAGGTGGGAAGCGGTAGGTGGGGTAGGTAAGTCACAGGCTTCATATATCTTACAGAAACGGTTATTCCACTATTAATAGGTGGAGAGAAAGGGGAGAAACAACTGAAATAGAGTTACCACTCCACACAAAAAATTAATCATAATTTATTCTATAATAAAGAGATGATTATGGAATACAAATTAAAAATATTTCAAGTATAAAAAAAATCTTATAATTAGATTTCCTCTAATTAGGAATTCCTATAATTAGATCTCTAATTAGATTGCATAATATCAATCTTCATAATATACACACTTCCCTATATAAAATCATTATATTTAATATTTTTCATAAAAATTTCCACCTCACCTACAACTACGGCGGTTATTCCACTATTAATAGGTGGAGACAAATGGGAGAAACAACTGAAATACAGTTACCACTCCACACAAAAAATTAATCATAGTTTATTCTATAATAAAGAGATGATTATGGAATACAAATTAAAAATATTTCAAGTATAAAAAAGATCTTATAATTAGATTTCCTCTAATTAGGGATTCCTATAATTAGATCTCTAATTAGATTGCATAATATCAATCTTCATAATATACACACTTCCCTATATAAAATCATTATATTTAATATTTTTCATAAAAATTTCCACCTCACCTACAACTACGCTAAAATGGTTGTCTACGTACCCCCTCACTAAAGGATCAAATCTCGCATAGTTCTTAAAAATGACCCAATGGGCAATTCATTATGAGTCTATTGTCGCCTCCCAAAAGAGTTCTTAAGAGAGGTGAGCAGCCCAGGACTTAAATACTGCTCTTCGGCCCTACACCTAACCAATGTGAGACTTCTTGTCCGTGACATTCTCCTCCACTCAATCACGTGACGCCCTCATCACAGATCGGCTTCTCCAAGAGTCATACTGGACCATGGAGAGTCAACACACCTGGCAGACAGTATTTAGAAATGACCCAATGGGCAATTCATTATGAGTTTATTGTCGCCTCCCAAAAGAGTTCTTAAGAGAGATGGGTAGCTCGGGACTTAAATACTGCTCTTCGGCCCTACACCTAACCAATGTGAGACTTCTTGTTCGTGACATTCTCCTCCACTCAATCACGTGACGCCCTCATCACAGATCGGCTTCTCCAAGAGTCATACTGGACCATGGAGAGTCAACACACCTGGCAGACAGTAATTTGTTTTGATACCACTTATCACCTCCCAAAAGAGCTCTTAAGAGAGATGGGTAGTCCAAAACTTAAATATTGCTCTTCGACCCTATAACCTAGCCGATGTGGAACTTTTTGTCCGTGACAGTGTTCACTAAACTCCAACAATATGTGAACTTAGTAATACCTTTGTGAGCATCTTCGCTAGATTCTCTTTCGTATTTATCTTCCTCAACAGAACATTATCGTCATCAATCAAATTCAGACAAAGTCGTAGCTCACATCCAAGTGCTTGGTATCAACATGATTAACCAAATTTATGGCAAAAAATATTACACTCTCTAACTATTACATAACACCGACAGAGACTCTAGATCAACTTCTAAGTCATCTAGTAAGCTCTGCATCTATATCGCTTCATTAAATCCGTGACTGTCATGCACTCAGCTTGTAGTAAACAAAATAAAAGTAAACTGAAGAACTGATCTCCAACTGAATGAATATATTGTCAACGTGAATAAATAGCTAGTCGCAAACCTACACCAATCTATATCATTTGCATAGTCTAAATCAGTGTAACCTACACACAAATCAAAAATAGATGATTATCTTTCAAAAACCAAACCGACATCAACTGTATCTCTCAAATACCTGAAAATACACTTCACACTATGTCAATGACTCCTTCCAAGATTATGCATGAACCTGCTCATAACATCAACTAATTGTGCAATGTCTGGTCTACTACAAACCATTACATCACTATCCACTACATTAGCATAATAAATTAATCATATTTTTTCCTCTTAGTCATCATTATGACACTGATATGAACTCAATTAAAAGTGAGATGCAATGAGTAGACTCACTGTCATACTCGAGTCATCAACCTTACACTTTTTCAGCAACTTTCGAACATATGATTATTGTGAGAGCCAAACATTTTTAGTTGTCTTGTTCCTGAGAATTTCCACGTCAAGAATTGTACGAGCTTCACCCAACTTCATTTGAAATGTTTGGACAATTGCTTCATCATATTAATCTCAATCTCATTGATATAAACAATCAACATGTCATCAACATATAGAGGTAAATAAATGAACTCAACATTGACCAACTTCTTAAAATATGCACAATGATCGTATGGGCTTCTCGAGTACACTCGTCCCATCATGAATTGATCAAACTTATTATACCAATGTCATGGTGACTACTTTAATCTATATAATAACTTGTCTTGTCAACAAACCAAGTTTGTTTAGGCTCTAAATTCAAGCGGTTGCAGCATATAGATCTCTTGTAATTCCACGTGTATGAACTGTCTTACCACCAAGCTACTCCAAAATTAGATCGTATTGTGCTACAAAAGCTAAGAGAACACGAAGAGGCACGAAGAGCACTGTCATAATTAATCTCTTCTCATTGAGCAAAGTCTTACAATTAACCCAGCCTTGTGTCGTTGTCGGCCGTACACGAAGAGCACTAGAGAGAGCACTGTCATAATTAATCTCTTTTCATTGAGCAAAGTTTTACAATTAACCCAGCCTTGTGTCGTTGTCGGCCGTCAATGTTTTGAAAATGATGATTTTTGTAAAATATGAAAATAGTTTTGATGTAAATATGATTTTTGAAAGTAATATTTTAATTTAAAAATATATGAGACCAAATGAGTCTTACATATTGAATTGTTTGGATGGATGAGCGCGATACCACAAGTAATACACTATCCAAAAGAAAAAGCATACCACTTGTCAGTAGGCTCAACCACCTAAACTAAGGAGTTTGTCACATCCGTTTGGTCTGCAAAACCTTTTATATATGGCCGACAAATTCCCCTACCTAATATAAGGATTAGATAAGGTTTATTTTACCTGGATTCCAAATTCCCTATAGAGACAAGTCTCTATAGTTAATTACATCTTAAATGACCAGGGTCACTTAAGAAAACTCTCGATTAAGATCAGTGTTTTTTCCTTCAAGATTTCAAAATTTAGGTTTCCAAGATTGGAAACTGGAAAATCAAATGAGAGTGGCTCAAACAAGAACAGTTATTTTAAGGAATCCAACAACCTAAGAAGGTATGAGTCCCACACTAATCTTGTGTCGATGAATGATACTATCGTCCTACGATTCAACAGGTCCCAGGATTGGGTCCTGATGTCGTAGGATAGAATATTATTTCGCTCTACCACCGGTTTGACTTTATCATCACCGCCCTAAGCCCCAAAACAAAACTGACCTACTTGCGACCTTGCTTGACGAACATAAGCAGCAAAAGCCTAAATCAAGAAGAAAAGAAAGCAAACCAAAAATCAAGAAATGAAAAAGAAAGAAGACCAACCCTCCTTCAAAACAAATTTAGACAAAAAAAACTAAAGCGGCAGGAGGGTTAACCTAAAGCATCCGACTGGCGGGACTTTCTCAAATGGTAAAAGAGGTGAAATACACTCCCCATGCTAACCAAGAACGAACCCGAAATGCCTAATTTAGAGACCTCCGAGCCATTTCCAAACTTTTCTCAAATATCACAAGGAATCCCTCTCCTCATTTCTTTCT